GACTAAATCTGCTACTAAATGAAATGTTTAGTACCTTGACTGCAATTATTCCTTTTTCCATTGGTGTGATTTTCATCAGAATTGAAGCATTTATGCTGTAGAATGGTCTGTTGGTGCATGGGACATCTTCTGTCAGTCTTCATTTTCGTAAAATTGTGTGGACTTTCGTAGTTTGACTCAGACAAACTGACTAGTGAGAATACTTTTATGGACCTAGACGAGTAGAATAATCCTAATTATACGCGCAAGGACGAGGGAATTGGATTGACTGTTTAATAATGTTGACTTATATACAAGTACACACTTTTCTAAGTCACGTCACAACTATTTAATAGTGTTCTCTAATATTTTTTTAAAATAAGTAATTATTTCACTTAAAAAAAAGTAAAAGTAAGTTATCAGATCATATTCGAAAGCAATTTTTACTTCTTTTTAACGTCCGCCCTCACCACTATGAAAGTTACTTCCATCTTGCCACGATAAATTATCCCGGGGATAAATTAGAGTAATGAAATTTACAAAATACGCCACATAATTACACCCTTGACGTCGTAATATAAAAATTTATCAAGGGTGTCTTGCGGGTGATTTTTAATCTTCATTAACGAGAAGACCTATATTATTGTTAATAAAAGTTCATGTGAGATAAAATATAGCAAAATGAGATATAATGTGAGACAAAAATTCATTGCGGGTTACATGTTCTTCCATAACTAATTGTAATATTTTATTATGCCCCCAACTCAATCTACCATAACCTTGATCTACCGGATTACGAGTCGTAATAGTAAATTATAACAATCATGCTGCATATACATCATCATTTATAGTAAATTATTAAGCTCTGCACAACTCACAGGTCGACTGAAAAAGCACGACGGATTAATGAATGAACCATGTCTTAATTACTTTGAATAGTTCTATTCTTCCAGCACACGTTGAGGAGGTCGTACTATTGTGTTCTTAGATTCGTCTCTCTCCAGTCTCCAATACATATTCAGTATCTATGGTCCAGAATCAATTGTTCAAATTCAAGTCTTTTGAAATGACATTCTTGACTTTTGATCGAAACTAAATAAAAGAACAATTATAGTTATAAATATGAATTCAAAGCAATGGAATCTTTTTGTTTTATTTATGTGTAAAAAATAAAAATAAAAAGAGGAGAGTAATTTTTTATATGTTTTACCCATTAAGTTTACCATATTACCAATGACAATCGAAGCCGCTTGGTAGGTTGGACCAATTACGATTGGAAAGGGCCATGCATTTCTGCTTCCTTTGGAAAGGGCTTCATGGTATTCCTCAATCGTGCTATAATTTCTGAATGCCAAATTCTTATTCACTTACTGCCAAAAAAGCAGGGTGGGTCGAAGATGCTATACTGGAATAGTCTCCTTAGACATAGTCAAATTGTTACCTTGTTTCTCCATTGATTTTCGGCTGCCCCCAGACGAGACTTATTCTTTGACAGCATTATACAAAATTATAAACTCCACTAAAAACTAATTGGACCTTAACTTCATTTTCAGCAATATATAGGAGAAGAAATTTTATCCCTTTCTATTTCCGAGAAAAATTTCTTAAACACTGGAGTGTTACCAAAAAAATCATTTTTTTTTTACGTTAAAAGCGAAAACGATACAAATCAAAATATAACTTTATTTTCAATAATAAATATCAATTAAAACATGGAGTCTGAATTTCTAAATTAAATATAATCAGTTAACTAATTAATAAACGTGTCTTTGAACAAATAACCAATCTAATAAACTATGAGGTGGAAAAAAAAACTTACTGTTTTTATTTTTTCAATTTCTCTCGGTAGTTCACATCACCATCTCGCCACATTTCCAAACGATTCACAAGAACATGCAGGGGCGGAACCAGCTTAAGCCCAGTGCAGGCCTGCATTGGGCTTTGGGCTGCCCAAAATTTTTAGAAACCTAATCCTTTTAAAGAAAAAGGTAGCCCAATTAATTGGCCCAAAATGTATGATAAAAGCCCCCCAAATTGAAACCAAGGCCATAACCAGTGAATTAACCACACCTGCATCAACAAAGAAGAGTCTGAGATTGTGACTCCGTGAGACGCCGCTGTCGAACGCCCCTACAGCCACGCCGCATGCCCCTATAGGTGAGTTTTCTGTAATTTCTATTGGTATTCATCTGCTACAAGTGTTGACTTGTTTTAGAGACAGAAAGTAGAAGATTTGTTTTAGAGAAATTGAGAGTGATGAAAGGCGGTTTGGAATAGGGAAAAAAGAGAGATTAGAGGGATTATTTAAGGGGACTAAAGACGATGTAGTGAAAAACAATGGGTAGATTTCAGCCATTGGAATGAGTCAATAGATTTGAGATAACCAGGCTTCCATAATGCTACTTACATAAGAATTACTCTTTTGTTTCGTTTATACTCGCTCACTTATTTTATTGTCTCGTTTATAGTCTTGTTTCTTCATTACAGTCAGTCATGGAAAGATTTTATAAAAGAAAAAGTCTTGAGGTTGAGGAAAATGTTAATGAAGAGTCGTCAAAAAGAGACGATTTTGATGTTGCACAACTTCCCACCAATCTTGGATTAAGGATTCCAATCTTGAATTACAACTCTAACATTAGAGATCAAGTTCGAAGAGCATATATGCAAAATGGTCCTTGTCAGCCGTTTAACCATGAATTTAAGAAAAGACAATTTGGAGAAAAAGAATCTAAACGATTC